TGGTGCGATAAGTAGGGAATGGCCCACGGGTTGGAAATGAACCGGAATTCCTTGAAGGAAACCAGGGGGATGAGAACCAGCACATATTTGCTTCGTCCAGCCGAGACGTCTTCAAACTCCATGTCAAACTCTCATGTCGAGCTTGTCCCGAGAGGGTCGTCTTCTCAAACCTTCAAAAGGGTAAAGAACGCAACGGAACACCCGCGCGGACAGCGAAACATTCAGTAGCCTTTTGAAAACATATCTGGTGTTTGGTTGAGTGTACCCTTTCTTGGACTTAAGAGAACGCGAAAGGAAAGGATCTCGCATCGGAAAGCGTTCTTTCTTGAATTCCGAGGGCATGTTTTCGCGTTCTTTGGGCCCTCAGGGAAAGCAACAGTAAGCCTTAGTACCTCCACATGAAAGCAACAGTAAGCCAACAGTAAGCCTTAGTAAGCCGTTCTTTGGGCCCTTATGGGAATGTCACATGGGTTTGTCTAAACTAGGGCACCCTCAAAATCGCTGATTTTCCTTCTGCTCCCCTTCTAGGTCCTCCAGTGGAGAGGTTAGAATACTTCTTTTTTTTCTCCGGGTGTCTATTTTAGTAGGGGAACCGAATCTCCCAACCAAAAAAAATTGGGAGAGAAGGGCACCTAGCTGGGGGACCTGGCCTTTTGCACCCACAGAAAAGGCTACCCTTCGGCAAAGACGAGCCACTCCAAAGGAGCACCCCCCTTCGGCCCCTGCTGGCGTCGAAGAGCTCCTCGAAGTTCAGGTCCCCTATGGACGCCCGGGCTACGTGATGGGCTCGGGATCTCCGCTGCTTCGAGCTATCTTCAGAGTCAAATTAATTACCTCCATTTGCTGAAGAAGATGTGTTCCTTCTGATCTTCCCCCTGTTTTTGTTTCTTTTTTGGGGGGAATCTACCCTCCCATCCAGGAGGAGGGTCTAGGGCCACTTTCCTTTGAAAATCACCCCCTGGCTCCCAAAATCCCATCCCCCCTTTGCAGGGGAACCATGCAGCCAAAAAAACTCGAAAAGCGGGGGAGCTCTCGAAGTTCGCAGCCCGTGTGGCAGAAACCGCCAAAATAAAATTGATGCCCCGAGGATTCAGCGCTCACCCCACGCATCTCAACTTGAGAACCAGTGCTGGTGGGTTTCCTGGTCACACCCCAGCACCCTCCAGTGCCTGATTGCTGTTTAAGACAGAGCACAGAAAAAGGAAGCCTTTGCTGTGCAGGTAACGGTTTACAACGGTAAGGGTGTGCTTCACTGCTTGGCGATAGGGCATCTCGCACCAGCCTAAGTGACACAATTGATGCCTACGGCTTGGACTGACGCCGGTTTAATGTGAGAGGACCATTATGGATCATTGAATGCTTTCAAGCTCGGGCTTCCGCTTTCCTGCTATGCATGGAACCAATGTAATTCAGTCAAGCGCCAAGACCCAAACCCTTTGAGAAGGATCCCAGCGACTCCAAATTTGCTCAAGACATATGGGTGTGGCTCAAATTGATGTACCAAAATGGCACCTTGGTAAATGGAGCCAAGGACTAAAACCTGCGTAACCCTAGCTCTTTAATTTTGAGCCAAACCCATATTTCGTGTCCCAAAATGGAAAAGCGCAGACATAGAAACGTATTAAAATGGTCTACCCAGAGTGTAAATAATTTAAAAAGGCAGCTGCACCCATTTATGGCTGGGATTATCCCTTACTAACCCTCAACTACCCGCGTTTTGATTCTGGCTCATGAGTTGCTGTTGCAATTCGTCCCCGCCTGAAGTCACGTCCTTGGCCGACAGGGTGTCCACCTGAAGAAACAATAACTCCGCGAAGATGGGACCCCTGTTGACTCAGCCAAACATACAAGCACACAAAGCAACTCAACATCCAGCAACAAGCTCGCTGCGCAACTCGCAACATCAGACTCGTGAAAATGAGTCCCCCATGCCAGCCTGCGCAGTCTACTGCAGTTGCAGTCGAACTGGAAAACAAAGCACGCAATGCAAACACCCGCGCACAAAACAAACCAGCAAAAGCATAGCAACCTGACATGCCGCCCGCTGTCAACGTCTGACCACTGCCTTAGTCTGCTAGGTTTCCGCCCAAGAAGCGCAGCGTTGATTGAAGTGGCTCGGTAACATGACCAACTTCGGTGGTGGTGTGTCTCCGCATGAGAGACACCCCTAGCATGGGTGGTTTTCCCTTTGGTTCCTGTTGAAAAGTCAACCCGCTATGGGTAAGTACCGCAAGATGACCACTGGCTTCCCTGGCCCAGTTGCCCATGGACCCCCGTAAAAAAAAAAAAATAAAAAAAAAAACAAAAAAAACTGAAGAAGAAAGAACCAGCTGAAATGTTCGTGCTTGGTATCTTGGAGGCGACGCCTTTATTCAGCTTGGTTTTGGAGAACGAAGGGAGCACCGACCCGCCCTTTTTTCAGTGTCCCGGTACGCCGTAAAGGAATCTACGTAATGAAGGTACCGCCAAGCTGCCAAACACTGAGTTCCTTCAAGATACA